CCCTACGCAGGATGCCGAGGCACCGAAATGTTGTGGCAACATCTTGGCGAATCCACCGGATGCCACTGCGACCTAGCCAGCGTCACATGTCCAGTGACGACCAAAAGGGGTCGAGTAACTCACAACGTCACACTCACCGACTTGGAAACGCCCCTGGCCAAGGTGGCCAACGGCTTCGCTAGCTACAAGGAAGATGTCTACGACGTGAAGTGGTGCTCTTTCGACTGTTGGAACGTGAGGCCAGACGTCAAAATGGCTTCACGCATTAACAAACTCGCGGCAGATGCCTTGAGGGCAACCCGTACAAAACCCACGCCCAAAATTCTTCCCAAAAAAAGGCCTCCCAAAAAGGCCAGAAGACTTCCCAAAAAGGACGCTTTCCGTATCCATATTGGTTGAAACGAAGGGGGGTGTTATTCTGAATCAATGAGAGCTTCGTCGGTCAGAGCTTCGTCGATCAGAGCTTCGTCGGTGACACCTCCGGGCCAACACGCACCAGAACGTAACGCACGAAGACTGAGATGAAGGCTGAACTGGACTGTACCCGAACCCCAAACTGACTCCGCACCACCAGCAGAGTGGGTCGTAACATTGCCAGCGGGCTGTAGCACTGTCTAAGACCGGCCTTCACTGTAACATGGGCACAGGTACTAAGTACCATAGCCGCGCGCTTAACCAACCACAGGCAAAAATCGTGGCTGAGCCGAAGTGGAGGACCATGAATCTTAAAGCTCTACTATTCAGCCCCTTGGCGGTGAAGGCTGAGTAACAAACGCGACCGAGTAAGCCGTTATAAATGCACAGCCGGCCGCCGGCAACGTCGGAACATTGCCAGCGGTAACATAAGCACAAGTACTAGCGCCACGCGCTTAACCAATCACAGGCAGGAATCGTGGCTGAGCCGAATGGAGGACCAGAGATCGAACGAACTACTGATGAACTGTTAACAACAGACAACAAGTCAATCACCACAATTAAAGCACCACCACTCTCGCGAACTCGAATTTGGGAAGGGAGACGCCGTCTCCCACTCGGTCCAATTGCTGGCTTAAATTTTGATTTTTTTTTTACAGTTCCAGTAACGATAGAGAATACCGCAAGCTTGATCCAACCGACCACGGGACACTTAAATATTAAATAGGTTCGACCGCAAGCAGTCGGCTCGAGCTTTGAGACGACTACTTGCGGTCCATCTGACTTGCGGTCGGTCACACAAGCATTCAAGACGGGCCCTGAAGACTTCTTTGCGATGAGACAGGTCAGGGGCACCCCCAGCACACCAACAGAGCACCAAAATAGGCTTGTGTGAGGGACCACCTCGGCCATCGCCTGCTGGGGGCGTGTGTGTGTGTGTGTGGTGGGGGGTGGGGGGGGGGGTCGG